GACACAATTGAACTTAATGTCAGATAGTAAATGAATGTCAAACAAGATGTCCCTGGCCACAATACTGCATATGGACACCACATTGAGGAGCGCAAGAATAACGTTTGTTTAGCTATATTTATCTATCTGTCTATAATATACATACAAATGATATAAACATAGATCTATATATTCCTCTGATAGTACTTCCTTAAATATAAAAATGGCCATGAGCATGATCACTAAGTAGAGAAATTTTCATTCGATCTTGGGGCTGCAATTAAGTTGCTTGCCTAGAAGTGCTTCAAGGAGGAAAAAAATCATTGCAGTCACTCCTTGGCAGACATATGAATTGGAACATATTTATTCTTCAGCTTTCACACTTATTACATTTCCGGTCCTCCCAGAAGCTTTCCTAGAAGCCACTAAACACTCCAATCTATTTTGACCTAGAAGTAGGAAATGTCACCTAACTTCTTTCAGCCAATTTTGTTGTAAGAATGGAGATATTCTGGAGGCAGGGGGCTTTTTTGGCTCAAATCTGGAAAGGGTAGAAAGTATGCTGTCTGTGGCTGGATCTACATCAGGTATGGGCAAACTCAGGCCCAGAGGCCGACTCTTTACTCAGGCTCTCCTCTCTCTCACTGTCCGAGGATCTGGTGGCCCTCTACATCCTCATACTGAAAGGAGGGCTGGATCAGTCACACATGGCCTCAGCACCAGCCCTGGGCAGAGCATCTTCCTGGCCTTCCTAACTTGTTCCTTGGCCTCCACTGCCATTGCACTCAGCTGCTCCTTTTCTTCCAGGCTTCCACTCCTGGCAATGAGGAAGGTGGCTCCTCTTCTACCTCCTCCTTTGCTGTTGCCTTGAAAAGAAGAACAGGAAGGAAGGAGAGCCCTGGTCAGCCGTTGTGTGCCTGCATGGCGTGTCAAATCCTCTTGACAGGCGGATGTCTAAGGCTCTCCTTCTCTCCTGCTCCTGCTCTTCTTTCCAAGGGGGAACTTGCCCTTGAGGAAATTACCAGATGTCATCTGATCCTGTATACTAAGCAAGATAAGCCTTGGTTGGTACTTTGATGGGAGACAGTCAGTGAATTTCAGAGCAACACATACTAATGAATTAATGAAGCATCATAATAAAAATGTCATGCTAATTACTTTCTAAAAGCAATTTAGTCAGTTTCGGAGGAAGGAAATGGTGCTGAGGCCATGCAGCTCAGACATAGCTCGAACATGGACATGACCTTGGACCAGACAAGCAACCCTACTCCCTCACCTCCACTCCCTCTCCCCAACTTCCCTACCCTGCTCCAACTTCCCTTAGCTTCCCCCATGCCTCATTTTCTCCAGTCCCGGCCCGCCACATGGCCCCGGAGTTAAAAAGTTTGCCCATACCTAATCTACACTGTTATATAATTCAGATGATCAAAGGCAATAATCCAGAGTATTTGTTTTGAACTGGATTATATGAGTCTACATTGCCATATAATTCAGTTCAAATCAGATAATCTGGATTTTATATGGCAGTGTAGATGCAGCCTGGGACAGAGTAGTCCAGTGAGAGGCAGTGTAGTAGTCTGATCATAACACAGGACCATAACTGAGGAAACCTTGGGGTCACTATCTCTCAACCTAATTGAACAATAATTTTGTAAAGATAAAAATAGGGAAGGATCAAGGCCCCTTCCACACAGGTGAATAAAATTCCACGTTATCGGCTTTGAACTGGGATATATGGCAGTGTGGACTCAGATAACCAAGTTCAAAGCAGATAGTGTGAGATTTTCTACCTTGAAATTCTAGGTTATAGGGCTGCATGGAAGGGCCCCAAGTGTGCTTCCTCAAGCTATTTTCAGGAAACTCAGATTATCAATGTTGCAAAGATATAATGCATGAATCCAGTTTCATTTATTTATTTGTTGTTATGTGCCTTAAAGTCACTTGTGACATATGGTGATGCTCAGGTGAAACTATCCTGGGTTTTCTTGGCAAGATTTATTCCGAGGCAGTTTGCCCTTGCCTTCCTCTGAGGCCGAGAGAGTGTGACTCACCGAAAAGCATACAGTAGGTTTCCATTACTGAACAAAGATTCACACCCTAGTCTCCAGAGTATTGGTCCAATACTTAAACAATGCTGACATGATTGCATGTATAGAACAGTAAAGTATTAATTTAAAACCAGATAATTTAACTGTTATCCTTTGGGAAATGCACCAGCGAATGTTAAGAGTAGGAAAGCTGTGATTTCTTAGAAGAGAGATAAGGGAGCAGTTTTTCAGTGGGAAGGCTGAATGATTCTTCTCCGTGTCCTTAGAAGTAATGACAGATTTAAGGATGTGTCCATTCCAATATTGTCTTGTCCTTGACTGGTCCACCTGCCAGAGCGTCTCCAGACTCCATAATATGTAGGATCAAGTATGTGTACACTTTCCCTGGGGCAGATGTTTCCCTCTCGCTGTCTCTAGAATAGGAATCCTCTCCATTTTGGAGCTGTCAGTCTGTGTTCTTTTGTCCCCAAGGCTTCCAAAGCGCCCTTGTCTGTTTGCTTTGTAAAGTGTTGCCAGCCTGCTCTCTGCTCCATTGAGCCCATGTCTGCAAGATGCTGAATGGCCCGTTCCTTGTCTAACAGCCCAAGAGCTGTTCCAGCCAAGCTTTGACATTGCTGCTCTCCTTCTAATTTGTAAAGTCTGAAGTGCAGCTGCTGCTAAAGCTCTCTTGGCTTTCTGGGCCTTTTGACGAAACATGCTAAAGAATCAAAGCAAAGGCACAATGGATTCCTATCAGTTGATTTGCACAGCAATGGGCTATACGTACCTATAATACACATAGGAAAACCCAAGGTTTTGTTCCTTGTCATTGAATTCCAATAAAATTAAACCCAGGGATGTTTCTGGCAGGCTCCCAGATTATTTTGGGAAAAAGAGACAGTGTTGACAGATAGCATGTCGGGTTTTTGTGTATGTCCTGATTTGTTTTTTCGGGGTATTTTCTGCAGTTGTTATCTTGTTGAATTGTAGATTTACTAAGACCTGAAAAAAAGTCATAATATGGGCCATCCCCAATGTAAGGCCAACCAGAGATGCGTCATGTAAGCCGCACCGAGCCCCTTGGGGAGATGGTAGCGGGGTACAAATAAAGTTTATTTAAAAAATTATTATTATTATTATTATTATTATTATTATTATTATTATCTACACTGTTAGAATGAATGCAGTTTGACCCCACTTTAACTGACCTGCCACATAGCTATGGGATCTGCAGTTTAGGGCCTTTCCACAAAACCATTTAAGAATATCAAGGCAGATAATACATAATATACATAATAACTGCTTTGAACTGAATTACCCGAGTCCACACGGCCGTATATTCCAGTTCAACGTTGATTGTATACAGCTGTGTGGAAGGGGCCTTAGTGAATCATCAGCACTTTTTGGCAGAGAAGGCTAAAGACCTTGTAAAACTACAACTCCCATGATTCCAGAGCATAAAGCTATGGAACCAAAAGTGGTATCAAACTGCATTAATTCCACACTATAAGGTGCACTCTGAGATTCTAACCCAGGAACTGGATACCATGAAGAATTGAAGAAGATTGTTATTTCTCATTACCGTATATAGTTGAGTATAAGCCGACTGGATATAAGCCAAGAAATCTAATTTTACCACAAAAAACTGGGAAAAAGCAGCTACTGGTACATTTCAAAATAAAAATAGATACCAATAAACTTCCATTAATTGAGGCATCAGTAGGTTAAATGTTTTTGAATATTTACATAAAACTGTAATTTAAGATAAATCTGTCCAACTCTGATTGAACTATTATTCTAACCTTCTTCAATGTAAATGTGCTTATGTATCCTTCCAATAATAATAGTAAAATAATAAATGAAATAATATTAATTCAGTAAAATAATGGAAATGTATTAATAAGAGAAATAATAGAGTAAAATAATAAATGTAATAATAACAATAATAAAAAGAGTAAAATAATAATTAACAATAACAGCAATAATAGAGTAAAATAATAAATGTAATAATAGTAGAATAAAATAATAAATATAATAATAACAACAGAGTAAAATAATAAATAACCTTGACTCGAGTATAAACTGAGGGGGACTTTTCCAGCCCCAAAAAAGGGCTGAAAAACTGGGCTTATTCTCAAGTATTTGCAGTACCATAATTTGGCTAGGAAAGGGATCTTCTATCTTGTATGCCAAAAATATCCTTTGACCTGAGAGAAAGCAGCTTAGGCTGTTAGGAATTGTGGGAGTTGAAGTCCAAAACACTTGGGGGGCTGAAGTTTGCCCATGCCTGGCCTATACTGTGTGCTGAGGTGGCACCCTGTTTTCATTGATGCACTTGATGCCACTTGAAAGTCATCGATTTCCATGCAATATCAATACATCAAAACATTCAGTGAGTAAAACTAAACATTTTATTAGGAAATTTGTAGTTCAACCTCTAGTTAAGTTTTCTCTTTCAGTGGCACATGCAATCACACACAAAAATAATTCAGTATGTGGTGCAACCATTATGATATACTGGAATAATAATGTCCGTGAATGCAGGTTCCAATCTATAGTTGATTTTTATTATGACGGGACAAACCTATTCATATCCTAGGACCTTTCCACACAGCCATGAAAGTCCCACGCATAAGTTAGCAGGCAATAAATGAATGACATTGTGCACCCATTTGTGTTTCAGGGTTCCTAAGCTGTGTTTAGGAATGTTGTTTGGGCGAACAAATGAAATTTATGCTCTCCGGGACTTATGAATTAAACAGAATTGTGTTGATACGTGGTGTCTGAGATGTCTTCATCCATATAAGCAGAGGTTAGGATCATGCAGCTGGAAGGACTGCACAGTAATTGGCCATTTGAACAGAAATTCACCTTATTGCAAATTAAGAAACAGATGAAGTGTTTCAAAATGCTATCTTGTACATTTGTATAACTGAGACAGTGGTATAATTGAATGTATTAAGGTAGTAATCATGTTTTTTTTTTCAATATTAGGTGGAACAGAATGCAAGAAGTTGACAAGATTGAAACTCTGAAACAAGAATGGTAGGTTTGTGTTTACATTTTGCATGTTGCCCTAGAATATAGAAAGAATACATATATACAGATAGTCCCCCAGTTACAAACATCTGACTTTTTACAAACCCAAACAACAAATTGTGCCATACACACTTGAACAGAACCAACCTTAGTTTGTGGGGGTGGTGTGTGTGTGTCATTTTTCATGCAGCACACCTAGAGACTACAGGCAAGACGTTATTGTGTCCCGATACATTGTTTGGAAAGCTCTGTGAAAAACAGTCATGTTAGGTCTTTTAGGTAGTAGTTAAGAGAAAAATGATAAAAAAGGGAAAGGGGAAACTGGCTGTGTGTGGATGAGAGATGTGTTTTGGGACTCCTGCCCAAGGTCTGTAGCTTCTCTCCACCCGACTGATCTCCAGACGTAACACCTGCAGCTAACCTCGGGACTAATCTGATAGCAATCCTAGGTACAATGTGACCTTCCCTTAGTCATTACTTGTTGGATAAGTTTTTTCCCAAAAGAAATCCCTTGTTCAACAGAGGCTTCAATGCGTCTCCAGGCTGGTACATATCCTGTTTCCTCTGCCCTTGAAGGATGCAGCTGCAGGCAAGCATTACAGTTTCTAGCATATCGTATTATTAAATCTGCTCCTCTGTAATAAAGGACTGAGGTATGCTTGCCAGGCAAGAACAATGCTGCTGTTTTCCTGAAGATCTGTTGTATTCTTCCAAACAATCTTTTACTTTAAAATTACTCAGTGGAGAGTTCAAATGAGCATTGTACGTTCAGCCATATATCTTCTATTTAAACGTTTCCTTAATTTGTTTATGATGACATGCGTACTTGAAAATACAGTCAAAATATTCATGCCTATCCTTTTCTTTTGGTTTTCTTTCCCTTCCTGTATGCTTGTTTATATTTCTTGGAAGTTTAATGTGTGAGATGGTGTCACTCTGGTGTTTTCAAAATTAAGCTAAAATAATGTTATATTGGGTTGTTATAGGTTTTTCGGGCTGTATGGCCATGTTATATTGCATACTGTGTATACTTGAGAGTAAGCCGACCTGAATATAAGCTGAGTCACCTAATTTTACCACAAAAAACTGGGAAAACCTATTGACTAATGTCTAAACTGAGGGTGAGAAACGCAGCAGCTACTGGTAAATCTCAAAATAAAAATAGATACCAATACAATTACATTAATTGAGGCATCAGTAGGTTAAATGTTTTTTAATATTTACATAAAACCGTAATTTAAGATAAGATTGCCCAACTCTGATTAAACCATTATTCCCATAATCTTCAATGTAAATGTGCTTACACATCCTTCCAATAATAATAAAGAGTAAAATAATAAACGTAACAACAACAACAACAATAATTCAGACTAACAAAGTTTTGGAACACAATACACCAGACATCACAATTGTGGAAAAGAAAAAAGTTTGGATTATTGATGTCGCCATACTGTGTGACAATCGCATTGAGGAAAAACAACAGGAAAAACTCAGCCGTTATCAGGACCTCAATTTCGAATTACAAAGGCTCTGGCATAAACCAGTCCAGGTGTTACCAGTGGTCATTGGCACACTGGGTGCCGTACCAAAAGACCTCAGCTAACATTCAGAAATAATAAACTTTGACAAAATCATGATCTGTCAACTGCAAAAGGCCACCTTACTTGGATCTGCGCACATCATTTGAAAATACATCACACAGTCCTAGAAGCATATATCTCTTGTTTGTTGTGCCATACTGTGTTTTTAAGTCAGAATAACAATAATAATAGAGTAAAATAATGGAAATGTAATCATAACAGTAATAATAGAGTGAAATAATAAATGTAATAATAACAATAATAAATAGAGTAAAATAATAAATGTAATAATAACAACAATAATAAAGTAAAATAATAAATGTAATAATAGAGTGAAAAGATAATGTAATAATAAAAATAATAAATAGAGTAAAATAATAAATGTAATAATAAGAAGAACAACAACAATAGAGTAAAATAATAAATAACCTTGACTTGCATGTAAGCTGAGGGAGACTTTTTCAGCCTAATGAAGTGCTGAAAAACTAGGCTTATACTCTAGCATATACAGTACTTATTTTAAGTGGGAAAAAGTGCTTCTAAAGCTATAAGATACAAGCAGAGGGCTCAAATGATTAGCAACAGTCCTGTCATTACAGTAATACCAGATTGGGAGTTACACTGTTATTATGCTGGCAGAATGCCCTCCACATCCAAAGTGTACTTATGCTGGACAAACAAAACTGGAATTAAAATGACAAGACGGTAACAGTGGCAACCAATCAGGGATGATGGCAGCAGCAGTGCCCATATAATGCCTACAAACTGAAACCTAAATCCAGTTCTTAGTGTTGCTGCTAAAAATCAACCCATTGAATCAGTGTTATTCAAACAGGTGTTGACTTATCATTTGATTTAGTGAATCTGATAACAGTTGGATGAGGTCAGAGTTAATGTAGCTTGACACCACTGCAACTGCCGTGGCTCAATGCTTGGAGTTGTAGTTTAGTAGAGCAGGATGAAGACCTTGTGAAACTGCCACTCCCATTATTCCATGCCAGTTAAAGTGGTGTCAAACTGCATTCGTTCTAGAGTGTAGATGCACCCAAGGTCATAAACAGTGATATGATTCAAGCACACTTTTGCTTTGTCTCATGCACACTGGCTCCCAGTACATCATCCCTGGTGACACCACCAGCTGTGACCTCAAGGTTGCCAGTCCTTGAATGTACTTCCCTGTAATGTTCTCCACTGTTTTGCAATCCCACCCTACAATGGGGAGAAAAGCAAGCCCACACAACGCAGCACCGGTATTATGAACAGCATATACAGTGGGTTGCTGTGAGTTTTCCAGGCTGTATGGACATTCTCTCTTGACATTTCACCTACATCTATGGCAGGCATCCTCACAGTGGTTGTCTGCCATAGATGTGGGCAAAACGTCAGGAGTGAATGCCTCTGGAACATGGCCATAGAGCCTGGAAAACTCACAGCAAACCAGTGATTCCGGCCATGAAAGCCTTCAAAGTGTATACAGTCTTTCTGCGGCAAGTTTTCAAGGCCCACCGAGGGACAGAAAAAAGACAAAAAGCCAAGAGCAGGAGGCTTGGCCAGATACCTTGGGGAGCCATGGAGCAAAGTGACACTAATACAATTTTCATTGTGCGGTTAATTTCTTTCACTTTTAAAAAATCAATATAATGAGAAAATCACTTCTACATAGCAGGTCATTGTTTATGCATAAACCCCATGTCCTTTCAAAGAGACTTATTGCAGTGCTTTACATAATTATTTAGAAGTGCTCTGGAGGTTTTATATGTATGTCTGCCAACCTTAGTGATGGTTGAGGATTTGATTAGGTTAAGGTTGCTGTGAGTTTTCCGGACTATATGGCCATGTTCAGGAGGCATTCTCTCCTGACATTTTGCCCACATCTATGGCAGGCATCCTCAGAGGTTGCGAGGTCTGTCTGTTTGAAACTAGACTAGTGAGGTTTATATATCTGTGGAATATATAGGGTGGGAGAAAGAAATCTTGTCTGTTGTAGACAAGTATGACTATTGCAATTGGCCAACTTGATTAGCATTTAATAGACTTGCAGCTTCAAAGCCTGGCTGCTTCCTGCCTGGGGGAATTCTTTTTTGGGAGGTGTTTAGTTGGCCCTGATTGTTTTCTGTCTGGAATTCTCCTATTTTTGAGTTTTGCTCTTTATGTACTGTCCTGATTTTAGAGTTTTTAAAATACGGGTAGCCAAATCTTGTTCATTTCATGGTTTCCTCCTTTTTGTTGAAATTGTCCACGTGGTTGTGGATTTCGGTGGCTTCTCTGTGTAGTCTGACATGATGGTTGTGAGATTGGTCCACCTGATGAACCAACCTGGACATAGCATATTATTTGATGATAAAGAAATGCTGGACCACTCTGACAACCACCATGTCAGACTACACAGAAAATCCATTGGAATCCACAAGCATGTGGACAAGTTCAACAGAAAGGAGGAAACCATGAAAATGAACAAGGTCACAACCTCTGAGGATGCTTGCCATAGATGCAGGCAAAACGCCAGGAGAGAATGCTTCTAGAACATATCCATACAGCCCGAAAAATCTACAACAACCCAGTGATTCCAGCCATGAAAGCCTTCAAAAATACATTGAATGAAAAATTATTCTGCTTCCTTTCCAGGGCCCCCAAATTGAATTTTCATTTACACCACATAGCCTAGTCTTAGGTCATACCATAGCAAATGTACCTTTCAAATACGTTAAAAAATCTACTGAGAATAGGAGTATCTAAATAGATATATTTAAAAATACATGAGTGTATCATAATTTGTATGCAGCAGTTTGTGTTTGCGTCATTCCTGCGTAGCAAATCATAGACTGCTGACATTCTGAATAACTGGCATCACTGTCGTTTTTGGCAGGCAATGACGAATGCATGACAAATATAGATCATTGTGTAAAGTGACTAAGTAGCTAAACAACTTTAAACCAGTTTCAACATCCAGCTAAACCCAGGATTTAGAGATCACTAGCAAGCCACAGGATTGTGCATTTCTCCTATGCCCTATTTTGTTATGGGTGCACCCCACCCCTGCCCTTGATTTAACATTATTGAAAAGTTTCACCAAGTGGATTAAAATGGAATCAGCTGAGCTACCAAACTCATATTGAAAACAACTATTCTGAATCTGATACAAGTACAATGAAAGAGTGCCACAGACTAGCTTTCTAATATCATGTGTGGGATATTATTTTCCGATCTTGTATAAATTACTGGGGCCAGAATATTATAAAATATTTATATGGAACTAACTTGTGGTGCAAGTTGTTTTCAAATAAAGTTGAGTGGCTGTTTTCTAATATTTAGAGCAGTAGTTCCCAACCTGTGGTCCATGGACCACCAGAGGTTCACAAGAACAAAAATATGGTCTGCAGCCTCACCATTACCACACCATTGCCTCCAAACCATGCAGCAACAAGAGCGACTGGTCCTGCAAAACCCTCTTATAATGCTGAGGCAATGGGTTTGTCAGGAGGGGAGAGGCTGACTACCCACGAAAGATTACTACTCCCACAGCTCCAGATTTTTAAATATGGTTTTCTGTGGGTGAACAGATGGCGACTACGGGATAGCATATGTTCTGTATCAGAAACTAGAGCTGATGTGGTCTATCCAATTCCATTTTCTGAATCAGCACCCCAAATAACCAAACCGAATCTAAAGTTGATCAAAAACTGATTCGTAACCCATTTGGTACTAATGTTGGAGAGTGGTCCCTGGTTAAAGTGGTCCCTTATCAAGTGGTCCTTGGTAAAAAAAAAAAAAAAAAGGTTGGGAACCACTGATTTAGAGAGTTGAGAACCTGGCTTGATTTGTATTAGTCTTATATTACAAATCATCAATGGTAAACAAATAATTTTCTGGAATATTTGCTGCCTCCATAACAAGAATGACTGCTTTAATTTTTAACACAACTGACAGGTAAATAAACAGTTTAGGTGAAACTGTAAATTTCATTTGCAACTTTAGATTTTTTAAAAATCTTCTGACTTTACAGGGTTTGCACACCAAGAAAGGACAGTCAAGTTCAGAATGGCACAGACCAGAACAGCTGTGATATTTTTGTCGATAATCTTTTTGAAGAAGCACAGAAAGTTGGGGCTGTGTGCACACAGCAGACAAAAGTTAAAAGCCAAGTAAGTGGATTAAATGTTGTAAAATATAGTCATGTAAAATTGTGTTTAAAGTCTTAAGGACCAACATCCAAGAATGTACTTTTACTGCTGGAGCTGTTTCTCTCAGTGGATCTCTAGTGGGTGATCTCTCCATATCACCCTTCTACTTCAGCCTGCAAATTCATCTCAGAGCGAGGAAATCCTGCTTCTACAACCATTAAAGTTGCAATAATGGTCTCAAGCTTTGAGTCTGACAGCTCTAATATTGACATAGATTGGGGGTCCCATCAAAGTGAATTTTGCCATATCCCTCTTCATATCTGGAGCTAGTTATGCAACTTTGGTACTCCTGACGCATTTTTATAAAAACCTCTGAAAGGAGTGGTGTCATGCTCTAGTTAAGAATGAAAACCTACATTTAAACGCCTACTGTATATTCTCATGTATAAGTATAGAAATGTTATCTAAAAATCACCACAGATCAGTGTAGGTACTGTACCATAATTCTTATCAAAAGGGAAGGAGTGTTGCATTCCAGGCCAGGAAACATCTCCACGCTAAATAATCCAAGTTAAATAGTCCAAGTTAAATAATCAAAGCAGTTTATTGAAGATTATAAAAAGACTTCAGCAAAAATATTTAAAACTTTAAAGTCTATATGCGTAAAATAATCCTCAAGGTACAAGAGTAGTCCAAAATCCCAAACTAACAGGATGAACAGCACAGGAATGCAAGAGAACCAAGAAATACAAGGCAGCATAAAATCCAATACAAAAAACCAGAGACAATCCTTCATACTTGGAAGCATGAAACAGGAGCAAAGATATGAAACTAGAATTCTCTCAGAAAACTTGACTAGGATTTGGCACAAGCTGTTGTCTCAATTACCAATGTTGATCAGACTGGCCAGGAAACAATCCTGGCCTCACTAATAAAGACATGAAGTCATGCCTTCTCCCATGAGTTTCTGCTATGGGTTTCTTCTGACCTTCGGAGGTGCTGATGAGCAGCCTGAAGTTTGCAAAACTAAGTCTCCTATCAACCAGCTCAATATCTTGCAAAGTCATTAGTTTCTGCACCTGGGATTTCAGCCCTTGAACTCTGTTCCCTAGAGAACCACTCCTCTGCACCATGCAGAATGTGACTTATACATGAGCGTATATGGTAATCCAGTGAGTTCTAGCCCTAGTAGCCTTGCACTGTGTTCTGTTAAATGTACCCATTGGATGAACAGAAGTTTAGGTTCTCTCTTCATTTTAAACCCACTTGTGCTTTCTAAACACATTGTCCTTTGATTATTGTGTTGACATTTTCATGGGATTGTTGGTGTGCTTTCTCGAAACCATTCTGTTATGTAGAAAAGACTGTGCAATACACTCATGTCCTTCAGGGTATTGGAGGCACATTTTGTATGTTATCGTGGCTAGGGGAGTGATTAGGACCTGAAAGATACCTTCTGTGCTTCCCACTGAGCTGTGTAATTCACTGGATGACCCTGAGCTTGCCATTTTCCCTTTACTCTGAGCTGTGTAAAGATTAAGCAGGAGGAGTGCCTTCCATGGAGCCTTAATTGAAGGAAATATAGGATATGAAAGTAAATAATGATAGATACTATTGTCTTGTCCATATAAGCACGTGTTTTGGTGTTAATGTAGCATCTTATGGGTAGATGAATGAGCTTATAGACACAAGACTCAATCAGCAAAATTCATATTGTGAAGAAATACGGAGTGGTTGCCCAAGAATAAACATCAGTCAGCAAGATTTGTACCCAATCATAGATGGAGCAAGGAATTATTATTATTATTATTATTATTATTATTATTATTATTATTTCTTGCCTGCCTCTCCTCACGGCCTGAGGTGGGTTACAACACAGTGATATACACATTCACCTGAAAACATTCTATACAGGCTTTAAGAACTGACGTGCCAATTATCCTGGTGCATGGAATTGAGAAACAGAGGAAACAGAGTTGAATTCCCTTTTGCTAGTTGTTTAAAATAATCACTTGTTTTCCTATACAAATTGCAAATTTAAATGTTTTTTTATATTATTTTATATTGTCAGTACTGGAGAACATTAACACAGGACTTTAGCCCATTCCTTCCTGTTGACACAATTGCAAGGCAGCCAGTTGTGATTAATGGATTCTTCAGCAGGCTCAGCATTATAGCATATGCTTTGTGTTATAAAGGACCCACTCTTCGATCTATGATGTTTCTGGGGAAGACTAAGGGGATAGGGAACCTCCCTGACACTCCAAAGTACAAGAAAATACATAGATAATACTGGCCTAAATGGCCTGTTTGGTGTGGCATGGGACAAAGCTTTGGAAACCAAATCCCCACTCAGCTATGGAAACCAACTGGGCGACCTTGGGCAAGTCACACACTCTCAGCCTCAGGGGAAGGCAAAGACAAACCTTGCCCAAAAAAATCCCCATGGCGTTAATGTTTGTCACAAGTCAGAAATGACTTGACAGCACACAAAAGACAAATAGACTACGAGGTACTCTTTGTATGTCTGTCTTCTGCAGTTCTTCACATGAATGGTTCGGATCTGTTCTTCTTATGAAATAATTTGCTTTTGTCCTTTTGTTTCGTAGGCTGACACAACAATTAAATTATGGAAAAATGGCTTCACAGTGAATGATGGTGAACTCCGAAGCTATACAGATGTTGCAAACCAGCGCTTTTTGGACTCAATCAAAAAAGGGTAAGTTGACTTAGGGGCTTATACTGAACCTCTGCATTGCTCTGTTTCCATCCAACTCTTGTTCTACTCTTTACTTATGCCTCCATGTACTTCTAACACTATGAATGGTTGTCAGAGTTGTTCTGTTTAGGACTGTGGTTCCCAACCTGTGGGTCCCCAGATGTTTTGGCATTCAACTCCCAGAACTCCTAACAGCTGGTAAACTGGCTGGGATTTCTGGGAATTGTAGTCCAAAACATGTGGGGACCTACAGGTTGAGAACCACTGGTTTAGGAAGTGTGTGTTTCTATATTATTTAAAGATATTTATATGCTGCCTGATTGGTATTTGGGAGTATTTTGATTCAAGGATGCAAATGAATGAATAATAAATAAAATGATTTAGGAGTTGTATTGTTCACAGTGCTTTAAAATAGCACAGAAGCCCCTCTTCTCAATGCTTTATGTTACATATCTGCGCTTCCCATTTAGTGTGCCGCAAAGTGTCATTTAGTAGGTGTTAGGCCATCATTGGTTATTCAGGGGTGTGTATGTGTGTGTCAGGAGCAACTTGAGAAACTGCAAGTTGCTTCTGCTGTGAGAGAATTGTCCGTCTGCAGGGACATTGCCCAGGGGATGTCCGGATGTTTGAGGTTTTTTACCATCCTTGTGGGAGGCTTCTCTCATGTTCCCACATGGGGAGCTGGAGCTGACAGAGGGAGCTCAACCCGCTCTCCCTGATTTGAATTGCTGACCTATCAGTCAGCAGTCCTGCCGGCACAAGGGTTTAACTCATTGTGCTATTGGGGTTCCTAGGAATGAAACAAATTAAATAAGATTTTAAACTTTGGCTAGCTCTCCAGTCAATCTGTACTTTTAAAATAATTGATTTGAAATTTAAATGTCTCTCGATATTTTTTAAATAAATGCTGTATTTTGTGATGTTGTAGAACTGTTTTTTCTGTTAAATAATGCTTAGGGTGAACAGCAGTTTTGTCTCAAGTTTCTTGAAGTCATATCACCCAATAAATCACATCAGTTCTATGTAATCTGTTTCACTAGTAAAATACTAATAATTAGTTAAATTTGCGGGTAACTAAGAGGGCTTTGAACTGAAACAGAGAAATGAAACCAAATCTGTAGCCCTGGACAAGTATATTGCCTCTCCCCTGGGAGGGGGAGGGGCAAAATAAAATAACCAAAGGGGATTGTATTTTGAGAATTTCAGATATTATAGAAAGGTATTGGGGATAAATGTTCTCCATGCCATCAAAAGCATCAAGATATGCTAGACAGAAACAAGATGTTGCCAAATTTTCAGAGGGCCTGGCAGAATTAGCAAGTTGTCATCAGTCTCTGCAGAGGGAATGCACTCTTGGCAATATGCCTGCTATTTGTAGGGCAGTCCCAGGGCATGGGTTCAGTCTAACATAGTATTGGGATTTCCATCCAATCCCCCCCCCCCCAAGCCCTCTTCCATGTTGAAAACATGATCCAAAATTCACAATCTTCCAGAAGAGGTTTTTGCGTATATAGGAAATTGGGGTGGGGGGTTACAGGAAAGATGGCCCCATTACTATTGTTCAGTGTTGCTACCTGGAAACATGCTGTTGGGTAAGGCAATGTCATTTCCCTCAATATGAATGTACATTGTATTTTTTGAACAGAGGCCATGTCCAGTTAATAGTTAATAACTCAGGTTTTGATGTATGGATACCTGGATGCTATTCTTGCCAACGCGGCAGAGAGGAACCTGTTGGCTTCTAGATGTCTTGGGCCTCAGCTTCCTTAAATTTAATTTACTATGTCATTAGCTAGTCAAAATGGGAATTAAATTCCATGAATAACTAGAGAGCCACATCTTCCTTACACCTGGTTTAGTGTAATGATGTTCTTATCACTGTATACTAGAAAATACTATCACGAAAGCACAGCAAATGGGGAAAATTATTGCTTAGGATAGAATTACCACATTTAACTTGTTTGCTAGAACTATACCTGCTCTGTCTATGAGGTAATGATTGTGTATTTTTCCCTGCTTTTTTAAAAAAGGGAGTTGCCTTCTGAATTACAGAAGATATGTGGCAAAGAAGAAGTGGCCGTGAAGGTGGATGATAAAAAGCATGAGGTGTATACACTGAAGAAGCCAGTGTTCCATCCTTTCTCTGGACAAGGGTACAGATTAGGAAGGTGGGGAGCATTTCTCAAATTGAATGCTGATTAAGACACAAATTAAGGGAGATATAGTAATTTCTCCAAGGTCTGACTTCTCGGCAGATAGGGTACTGGAGGTAATGAATTCTGAGAAGACTACTTTGAATAGTTGCCTGATTGATGGAACAAGGTTTATCAAAGCCAGCCTTCTGAAAATGCATAGACTCTGAGAATACCCCATCACCATTCAAAAGACAGACATTGAAGATTTTCCTTTCTAGTAACAACACCACGTCTCTTTTCCTTTGCCTTCACTTTTTTTCCTCCTACTGCTGCCACCTAATAAAGGTAAAGGTTTCCCTCTGACATTAAGCCTACTCATGTCCGACTCAGGGGGGTGGTGTTCATCTCCATTTCTAAACCAAAGAACCGACGTTGTCCGTAGACACCTCCAAGGTCATGTGGCTAGCATGACTGCATGAAGTGCTGTTACCTTCCTGCCAAAGCGGTACCTATTGATCTACTCACATTTTCATATTTTCAAACTGCTAGGTTGGCAGAAGCTGAGCTGAACAGCGGGAGCTCACCCCACTCCCTGGATTCGAACCACCAACCTTTCAGTCAGCAAGTTCAGCAGCTCAGCTGTTTAACCTGCTGCGCCACCAGGGACCCCTCGTCACCTACACCAGTGACAAGTTATTGACTTTGGACACTAACATGTAAAGGAGACCAATTTGCTTTAGATCTGTGAGTGTTCCACTCTGCACACATTAATATATCGTAGGCAATCACTATCAGCTTCAAGAATGGTGAGAGCAAGAATAACGTCATTAGTTCCTCCAGCTACACCAATCCTCTGAAGAAACTGGTAGGGAGCCAGTAAGATGCCATATCAGTACAATAAAAAGGCTGTAGCTGTGCAGAGAAGTACGCAGAGCTATCTTTGCCCCGTTGAAAAGCTTACCTCTTTAGTAAACACCTCCTCTAGCATCCTTTCTCATCAGAGTGGTTTGCCCCTGGAGCAGTGTTTCTCAAACTGTGCTCCTCCAAGTCTCAACTTGGAGCTCCCAGAAGCTCCAAGTCTCAACTTGGAGCTCCCAGAAGCTCCAAGTCTCAACTTGGAGCTCATCTTCAGCTCCCAGAAATCCCAGTCAGATTACCAGCTGTTGGCTTGTGGGACTATCTGGGGATGCACAGTTTGAGAAACGGTGCTCTGGAGAATGGGATTTGACTCCCAGTTCAGCCCTGAAAGCCTATTTGGTGATCTTGGTCAAGTCAGACTCAACCTCAGAAAACCTTGTGATTAGGGTCCACTTAATTCAGAAAAGACTTGAAGGCACGCCACAACAAGAGACGCTGAGCCACCCATTTACTCATCTGAGAGCCCAGCAGTTTTGGCCTCTCCTTTGAGCTGTTTCCTTTCCAGATGGTTTTGTCAAGAAAACCAACAATGTTTAGTTGTGTTCTACTTCTATTATGTCTGATTATTAGAAGATTCAAAGAAGGAGCCTTCACCACATTCCAGGGCAGAGAGTTCCACTGCTGAACAGCTCTCACATAGGAAACAAAATAACAAAGAAGCAAAATAACAAAGATTTCAACATAAAAAACTAACTGCAATTTTTAAGATTTTGTAATCCACCTACTAATGAGGTCTTAGACCCGAAAATGTGTTTTAATTCAACATTCTCTATTCTTGTCTAACAAAAGCTAATGTTTCATCTCTTTGTTGTGATTTAAAGCTACATAACACTACAGTATAAATATTTTGCAGTCACCAAAACAAAGAGTAATGAGTTGGTTACATAATTAATGTGATTAAGCACCCAGCAGTCTAATGTGAAGATGAATTAAACCTTGTTTGAATTTGTCCTTTGCTTTCCAGTGCGACGCCAAGAATAATTTCTAAAGTAAAAAGAGACGTTGAAGAAATTGAAAAGAAAAAACCGACAGTGGTATTAAATTACTCAGAACCCATCACCAGTGTCCAGATCTGGTTAGCAGATGGAACAAGGATAGTACAGAAGTTTAATATTTCTCATAGGTAAGAAAATTTGATAATGCCACACATCTTTACCTGTGCAGTTTAATTCTATATATGTCTACTTGGATGTAAGACGCCCTGAGTTCATACTTGCAAGTGAATATATATAAGATTGTAGTGTCATCGTCTCTTTTTTGAGAAATAACTCCCTTTGGGTTCTATGAGAATTATTCTTAAGTAGGATGCAACTTAAAGTTCATATCACTTAGGTTTATTTATTTATTATTTATTTACAACATTTATATGCCGCCCTTCTCACCCCGAAGGGGACTCAGAGCGGCTTACAAGATATATACACATACAATATACTATATTATTAGCATAGCACAATATCAGTATTAAGTATTACTATATTGTGTTATACCATTATATTGTAATATTATTAGTATTTATATATTAGATTCTTTGTTTAGTGGAATGGAAATAACTGCTTTTCTCAAGGATAGAAGAGAAATAAGTGTTTTTATGGTATGAAAATCAAAACAAAATGTAAGTTGCAATATTGTGTTGTTAAAGGCTTTCATGGCCGGAATCACTGGGTTGCTGTGAGTCTTTTGGGCTGTATGGCCATGTTCCAGAAGCATTCTCACCTGATGTTTCACCCACATCTATAGCGGACATCCTCAGAGGTTGTGAGGTCTGTTGGAAACTAGGCAAGTGGGGTTTATGCGTCTGTGGCATGTCTAGAGTGGGAGAAAGAAATCTTGTCTGCTTGAGGCAAGTGTGAATGTTTCAATTGCCCACCTTGATTAGCATTGAATGGCCTTGCAGCTTCAAAGCCTGGCTGGTTGCTGCCTTGGGGAATCCCTAGTTGGGAGGTGTTAGTTGGTCCTGATTGACTCCCCAGTTTTTTGAGTGTTGCTCTTTAGTTTCCCATTTGGTCCTAACTGGGAATATGTGCTTAACAGACTTGGAGCAACCCAAAATATAAAATCACCCAAACGATCTATTCACTTACCCATTTACTAAGGTCCTCAACTTAATGGTTACCTAAGACTGATTACTTAAAACATTTTATTCTACTTTGGCTCTGCCTTATTGGGCCACCCATTTTTTTGGATTTGTCTCAGATTATTTCAAATGAAACAACAGAGAGGAAAAAACCAGGCACAGATTAACACCTCCCAGCAACAGATTTTCCCAGACTCAGGCAGGCCTTCAAATGCTAATGAAGGTGATCAGCTAAACATTCACACCTAACTGCAGCAGGGAAGAGCTCCTTGCCCCACCCCAGCCATTCCACAGATATATAAGCCCATTTTTCCTACTTCCAACAGACCTTCTCAGCCTCTGAGGATGCTTGCCATAGATGCAGGCGAAACGTCAGGAGAAATGCCTCTAGAACATGGCTCTATAGCCCGAAAAAACCCACAAGAACCTATCAAATGAAATTGTGTGTATTTGTATGTTTTCTATACTTGGCTCTGACTGAGTTTGATTCAAGACTACAAGTCTACTCTTCTGCTTTGTTTACGCCAGTGGTCCCCAACCTTTTTTGACCAGGGACCATGCTCCAACATTATTACCAAAGGGATTACTTTAGGTTCATTTTGTTTATTTGTGGTGCTGATTCAGAAAATGGGTTAGACCACATCAGCTCTAGTTTCTGATACAGAGCATATGCCATCTAGTAGTTGCCATCTGCTCGCCCACAGAAAACCATATTTAATAAACCTCAGCACTATAAGAAGGTTTTGCAAGAGCAGTTGCTCTCATTACAACAGTGTAATGGTGACGTCACGGATCATATTTTAGTTCTTGTGGGCCACTGGTGGTTCCTTGGACCACAGGTTGGGAACCACTGGTTTATACCATGGTACTGGCTCCTTTAGAAATCATCATAATGAAGATCTTGCTGCATTGTTCAAATCACCATACACCCTCTGCTGTTGGCTTATGGGGATTGCAACATTAGCATGAGGAACGGTGACTGTATTTATTCCCTTTTTAATTACAAGAGTGCTATTAATAGTCAAAGACTGGTATCTTAGGGGTGCAGAAAAGCGAAGAAGTTAAAACCAACAGGCAGGGAGTGTGAGGCTCATAGAGTAGCCACTGTTGTGATATGTGTAGTATATGTTTAGTGGTAGGGGCCTGTGATAGTCATTGTGAGGATACTTGTCACAGATTGAATTGAATTAGCTGTAGTTGCTTTTTTATATTAAGAAAACATATTTGTATAGTTTCGTTTTTTGTGAGTGAAGGGTTCTGTGACTGTATTTTATGCAGCGTTCTATATATTTGGTTGTTTGTAGGTTTGTTGTCCATTCTTTGTTGAATAAAAATTATTTTTTAAAAAGAGGAAGGGGGCATCTACATGTGTACATGTATAGGGCATATAAGATCTGACCCTTGTATCTGTGGGAGGACACATTTCCTGAACTTATCATGGTTAACGAAAACTGTGGGTAATAGCAATTCTTCCTCGTGTAGTCTGTGAAATGCGCACTAATGGGTTTCTGTGCGCATGCGCAGTGATTTCGGAACATTCTAGCTAAAGAGTTTTGGCGGGAGTCCCGCCCACCCTCCCAAATGGTATAAAAGGCAGTAGGCGGAGTTCCGCGTCAGTTCTTCTTTCCGCGCGACAGCAGAAGCATTTCGGACTTTCCTCCTCTTCTTACTTACCTGATTCCTTGTGTATTGACTCGGACTGAACTCGACGACTCTCCCTTCTCCTTCCCTGACAACGGACCGACCACGGACAGGCTAGCATGTCGACTTTATCTTTTAAAAAGTGTTCGGCTTGTGGAGCTAACCTCCCAGAAGCCGATAGACACTCCAAGTGTCTTTTGTGCCTTGGGGAGTCCCATAATCGCTCTGCCTGCGAGATCTGCAGAGCTTTTACATCTCGGGCTCAAAAGAGCAGGGACTCCCGTTTAAAAGCGCTCTTATATGAGCAAGCATTGGCCCCTGAGGAGACTCGCCAAGCCGCGCCAAGTCTCTCTCAGCAACTCCCACCCTCCCCTCTCTCCGGAGAGCGGCCGGGTCCCTCCTCCATGCAGCTTGAAGAAAGCCCTGCAGCTTCAACTCCTCCCCTTGGGGAAGAACCGCCGCCGAAAAGACCCAGGGCCTCCAAACAAACTGCTCATAAGAGCAAGTCTAAAGAAAAACAAAATAAAAAAAAGGGACGGCAACTCTCTGGCGCACAGCCCCTGAGTCCTCCCCCGCCGGTACCGCCGGCCCAGCTGCTTGAGCTCTCGCCCACGGAGCAAACTGCACCTCAATTCTTGGAGCTCCAGGAGCCCCCGGAACTCCTTCCGATCGAGCTCCTTAACTCCCAGCTGGATCCTAACCTCCCCGCCTCTCCCTCCTTCCTCCAGCCGGCTCAACCTCCCAGGGAGCACCCTTCTTCCCCGGTACCGGCCCCTTCCACCTCTCAGAGGGATCGTGGCCACTCTTGGCCGAGCCGCTCCTCAAGACGCCGGTCCCGATCCGCCTCCTCCTCCTCCCGATCCCGCAGTCCTCATTCTAAACGCCCGCGCGGGCGCGATCTGCGCTTCTATTATCCTTATGATTATCCCTTTCCTCTCTATCCCCCACCTCCCTTTCCATACTACCCTTTCTACCAGGGAGAATATCCGAAGGATCATACTCCTCCCCCTCATCCCTATCCTCAACCTTACCTCCCTCCTTCTGCCACTGTTTCCAGGCCCCCTCCTGAACCTCCCGCCCCTCAACTCCAAGGGGCAGCACCCCCGGATCCCACTACCCCTCAGCAGGATCCTCCCCCTGATATAGACACTGTGGATATCGAATCCTCTAGCGACTCGCCTCCCACTCCTCCTCTGCATTCTGAACCAGACCCAGACCCTTTACAAGCAGAAGAGTTTAAAAACTTTTCTGCCTTACTCATTAGGCTTTCCAGGTCATTGAATCTGGCTGTTCCCCAACCCACTAAGGCTGTGGATGACCCATGTTTCACCTCATCCGAACAGCAACGACCCATGTCGACTATATTGCCCACCTTACCTTACCTTCTAGAAGTTCTGAAGACAGAAGGTGTCTCTCCAGCCTTGGTTCCAGCTACACCAAAGCGAGCTGAGAATCTTTATCGCATTGACCTCACAGCAGCCTCATGGCTTGCTAAATTGCCTAAAGCCAACTCAGTTGTTACAGACGCCCAACCCAAACCAGTTCAAAGAAACCAGGCTTCTCCCTCAGACAAAGAAGGAAAGAAACTGGATGCCATGGCAAAAAAGTTTTATTCCTCTGCTTGCCTGTTCGCCAGAATGGCACATTATGGCGTTTACATGAGTGTATACCAGACGTTCCTCTGGAACAAAATTTCACCTTATCTTGATCTCCTACCGATGGCTGATCAAGCAATGGCAAAAGCCTTTGCTCAAGAAGCATTTCTCCTTTCTAAGCTCCAAAAGGACTTAGCAAAGAACACAGCTGATACATCGGGCAAACTTATTGCTGGGGCAGTGGCCTTGAGACGTCACGCATGGCTCAGGGCGTCCACCCTTTCTCCTTCAGCTCGCACATTGATTGAAGATCTTCCTATGGATCAAACAGGATTGTTTAATCCAGAAACTGATTCCCAGTTGAAACACTCCCATGAGATGAAACAAACGGTCACTAAATATGACCAACAACCTTACCAACAGAGACAGCGATGGGGTAATTACTACCATTACCCCACCTATCATAGAGGCCGTTACAACCCCCACTCCTACAGAGGGAAACAACGCCCCCAACCGCCTCCTACCACCACTGGGAAGCCACCTGTTCCCTTCAAGGGTCAGTATCGGGGCACAAAACCACCAGATAACAAAAAACGGCGTTTTTAGCCCCCCTCCCTCCCCGATAAGAAATCCACCTGTCCCCTCCCTACCCTCCACACACACCACATCCACCTTACCTTCATACCTTGACAGACTCCATCCATACTTACCTGCCTGGCAGTCCATAACCAATGACACTTGGGTCCTCCGCATAGTTGATGAAGGCTACGCCATTGAATTTGATTCTCTCCCCCCGCTGGGAAGAATCCTACCCACTCAATCCTCTCCCATGCTTTGGGATGAGATCCTCTCTCTTTTAGAGAAAGGAGCAATTTCCTCTGTACATCCTGACCTGGCTCACGCCTGCTTTTTCTCCCGCTACTTCCTAGTAGACAAAAGGGACGGAGGCCAACGCCCCATCTTGGACCTCCGAGGCATTAACAAATTCATTTCACCTCGTAGATTCCGCATGGTCACACTAGCCAACATCCTTCCTTTCATCACAAACGGAGCTTGGCTCGCCAAGGTCAACCTCAGAGATGCATACTTCCACATTTCAATTAGACAGAGCCATCGCAGATACCTCTGCTTTGCGCTCGACAACCACATTTTTTCCTTCTCCGTATTACCCTTTGGCCTCTCCTCCGCCCCAAGGGTTTTCACTAAGTGCATGGCAGTTGTAGCTGCTCACCTACGCCAAAACGGCGTAACGGTTTTTCCATCCATAGATGATTGGCTTTTTTCGGCGAAATCTCGTTCCCAACTCCTTTCTGACATCTCCTTCACCTTGTCTCTCTTACAGGAACTTGGACTTGTCGTAAATCTCGACAAATCCCACCTCATACCTACCCAGCGCATCCATTTTATTGGTGCCCTGATAGACTCCATATCCCAACGGGCTTACCTGCCAGAAGACCGATTCTCCAATCTCTGCCAAGCCATCAACAGCCTTTATTCTTCAGGCCGATCCTCTGCATGGGCTATCCAGTCCATACTTGGCCACATGGCATCCACCACAAGTGTAACCCCTTTCACCCGCCTCCACCTCCGCCCGCTCCAATCCTGGTTCCTCAAAGTGTTCGATCCCATTCACGACTCACAATCCATGATCTTCCATCCTCCCGCTCATGTCCTCAGCTCCCTCCTGTGGTGGACAAGGGAATCCAATGTATGCTCAGGTCTCCCATTCACACACCCCCGTCCGTCTCTGTCGCTGATGACGGACACCTCCTCCTCCGGCTGGGGAGCACACCTCCGAGACTTGACGATCAGCGGCCGCTGGTCTCACTCGGAATGACAACTCCACATCAATGCACTGGAGCTACTAGCAGTGGGGAAAGCCCTCCGGGCCTTTGCCCACCTGGTCTCCAACCGCACCATCCAGATAGTCACAGACAACACGTCAGTAAAATTTTACCTCAACAAGCAAGGGGGAACCCACTCCCCAACCCTCCTCTCCATAACATCCGAGATTTGGGAATGGTGCATCCGGAGGAACATATTCCTCGTTGCGATCCACCTTCCGGGAAAAGACAATACCCTGGCGGACTCTCTCAGCAGGACTCCGACCACAACCCACGAGTGGCATTTACACCCCAGGGAGTTCAACCTCCTGACCCGCCACTGGGGCCATCCACAAGTAGACATGTTTGCTTCCCCAGACAACACACAGTGCACTCTCTTTTGCGCAAGACTCCAACCTCACGTATCCCCAGGCTGCTTAGGAGACGCCTTCCTCTTCCAATGGTCCCAAGGACTCCTCTACATCTTTCCCCCTCTTCCTCTACTCTCCAGAGTAGTAGCGAAGATCATCATGGACAAAGCAAATTGCATTCTGATAGCTCCATGGTGGCCCAGGCAACCATGGTTTGCTCCTCTCCTTCACGCATCACGCAGAACCTTTCTTCGCCTACGATCCAGCCCAGATCTCCTCACTATACAGGACGGACGGATCTGTCATCCAGATCTCCCAACCCTGCGCCTCACGGCGTGGAGGATCAGACCATGAGCCACCTCTCTGAGACCGCATGGCTCATCATCCAATCAGCTCAAAAGGCCTCCACCAAGAGATCCTATACCTACAAGTGGTCAAAATTCAGATCTTTCACTCACCCCTTGGGCTTTGAGCCTGTCTCAGCCCCAGTTCATATTGTTTTAGACTTTCTAGTTCACCTTTCCTCCCGGGGTTTTTCCTTATCCTCAATCAAGTGCTATCTTGCAGCACTTTCCTGGTATAGGAGAAAATCGGGATTACCATCCCTCTTTCAAGATCCGTTAATTCAGTTATTCGTTAAAGGTTATAAAAATGTTTATCCCCCAGTTTCCCCCCCACCTCCGGCTTGGAGCCTTGAGCTTGTATTGTCTCAACTCTCCAAACCTCCCTTTGAACCCATGGCTTCCAGTGACATTTCCCATCTCTCCTGGAAGACGGCGTTCTTAGTCGCCATTACTTCTGCAAAAAGGGCCAGTGAACTCGCTGCTCTCCGTTCAGACCCTCCCTTTATTAGGTTCCATGAAGACAAAGTGGTCCTTCGGACCGACATTACCTTCCTTCCCAAAGTTGTATCCAAGTTCCACATGTCCCAAGACATCACTCTCCCTGCCTTTTTTCCTAAACCTTCCTCTCCCCTGGAAGTTGCACTCCACTCGCTGGATGTCAAGAGGGCCCTCTCCTTCTACATATCCAGGACAGCCTCCTATAGGAAATCCCCAAGACTTTTCCTGAAATACAGGAAAGACGCCTTGGGTTCTCCAGTAACATCTCAAAGGCTCTCATCATGGATAGTGTCCACAATTCGCCTAGCTTACAGTTTGGCAAATAAGGATCCTCCTCCAACTATCCATGCTCACTCCACGAGGTCTCTCTCAACATCTCAAGCCTTCCTCCATGGTGTCTCAGTCCACGACATCTGCAAAGCAGCAACATGGACAACACCTTCCACTTTTGCCTCTCACTACAAGCTCGACATCCTCGCCAAGAGAGATGCGGCCTTCGGCAGAGCAGTTCTTTTCTCCTGTGTGGCATGACCCACCTCCAGGTTGGTAGCTTTACAGTCACCCATTAGTGCGCATTTCACAGACTACACGAGGAAGAAATATGGGTTGCTTACCTGTAAACGTATTTCTTCCAGTGATAGTCTGTGAAATCCGCACGTCCCGCCCGTCCTCCCCTCTCATGTCATGCCTCTTTTCCTGGCTGCTGTCTGGCGGCAAGGAACTGACGCGGAACTCCGCCTACTGCCTTTTATACCATTTGGGAGGGTGGGCGGGACTCCCGCCAAAACTCTTTAGCTAGAATGTTCCGAAATCACTGCGCATGCGCACAGAAACCCATTAGTGCGGATTTCACAGACTATCACTGGAAGAAATACGTTTACAGGTAAGCAACCCATATATCTTACTGAACAAAGACATTCCACATAGAGTTGCTGTGAGTTTTTTGGGCTCTATAGCTATGTTCCAGAAGCATTCTCTTCTGACATTTCACCCACATCTATAGCAGGCATTATCAGAGGTTGTGAGGTCTGTTGGAAACTAGGCAAGTGGGGTTTATATATCTGGAATTTCCATGTTGAGGGAAAGAACTCTTGTCTGTTTGAGGTGAGTGTGAAAGTTGCAATTCAGCATATTAAGAACACAGAAATGCTGGACCACTCTTAACAACCACCATATCAGACTACACAGAGAAGCCATTGAAATCCACAAGTATGTGGCCAATTTCAACAGAAAGGAGGAAACTATGAAAATGAACAAAATCTGGCTACCAGTATTTAAAAAAAGACTCTAAAATCAGGACAATAAGTAAAAAACAACACTCAGAAAATGGGTATTTCAGACAGGAAAGAATCAGGGCCAGGTAACGCCTCCCAACAAAGGATTCCCCCAGGCAGGAAGCAGCCAGGCTTTGAAGCTGCAAGGCTATTCAGTGCCAATCAAGCTGGTTAATTGCAACATTCACACATGCCTCAAGCAGACAAGAGTTCTTTCTTCCACCCGGGACATTCCACAGATATCTAAACCTAACTTGCCTAGTTTCCAACAGACCTCACAACCTTTGAGGGTGCCTGCCATAGATGTGGGCGAAATGTCAGGAGAGAATGCTTCTGGAACATGGCCATACAGCCCAGAAAACTTACAGCAAACCAGTGATTCCATTCATGAAAGCCTTTGACAACACTTTCCACAGAGTTGCACTGGAGGACCTAAGAAATGCCTAGGGAGGGAAAGGAAACCGCGGGGACTGATCTTGTGGATACAGGGATCCATACTGTATATTTGAGGGGCAGAAGACAGTGTTGGATGGACCAATTGCAGAACATCCTCTGTTGCCAAAACTGTAAAGGGGAAACTTCCTATGGGCACCACTAAAAGAGTTTATTTCCTGTTTAGTTTCTGATCCAAATTGCTGGGCACACATTATCTTCAAATAACTTTACTTGTTTTTTTTCTTTTCAGAATAAGTCATGTCAGAGACTTCATAACAACCCACCAAGGAGATCATGGAAGGGGTGCCTTCACTTTGGCCACATCGCTTCCTTTTCGGGAGCTGCTGAATGAATCCCTCACGCTAGAGGAAGCTGACTTAAAAAACGCCGTCATTGTTCAGAGACTTAAGAAAACAACTGAGCCTTTCAAAGGCCTTTCGTAAGAGCCGGCATCAAGATGGCCCTGAAATAGTGCTTCAGGACAAAACTACTACAAGTGACACTTGGGGAAGAGACAAAACCATACTCAATGAATCACTGCGCAGTGGAGTTTGTTTCCCTGTGCCCAGTGACTTTCTCTTAGTTGAGTTACTTTAGTTTATACCAAAAAGAAACAAATAGCAATATCTGCTGTCTATAGTACACCATCTACAGCGCTGCTCCGAAAGGGCATTTGGCATGTGCTGTGCTGAATCTGCTGTGTTTTTCATGGTTCCTTTTTCCAAATTAATGGCCTGGATGTAGAACGTAGTAGGCAGTATTTCATCAGGCCAGCTATCTTCAGCTATCGACTAGATAGTTTTTCCAAGCCTAGTAAAGAAGAGACTCGTAATGAGAGTTGTAGGCTTCGATTTGCACCTTGAATTATTAACTGGACAAATGTTGCACTTTACTTTGAAAAGTACTACTACCGGTACTTGATTTTGTTCTTTTGTAAAAAGAAAAAAACCTATATCCCAATGTGCTTTAGTATCCTCACAATGCTGTGGTATAAAATTATTATTATTTTATTTATTTACTTTATTTGTATACCACCCCTCTCAGCCTTGCAGCGACTCGAGGTGGTTGGTGTAGGTTGGTATAGCTAAACCATGGAGCCCCTGGTGGCGCAGTGGGTTAAACCGCTGAGCTGCTAAACTTTCTGACCGAAAGGTCTTCAGTTTGAATCCAGGGAACGGGGTGAGCTCCCACTGTTAGTCCCAGTTTCTGCCAACCTAGCAGTTTGAAAACATGCAAATGTGAGATCATTAGGTACTGCTCTGGCTGAAAGGTAACAGTGCTTCATGCAGTCATGCTGACCACGTGACCTAGGGACAACGCCGGCTCTTTGGTTTAGAAATGAGATGAGCACTACCCCCCAGAGTCGGACACGACTAGACTTAATGTCATTGGAAAACCTTTACCTTTATAACTAAACTTAAAATTTCTTAAAACAAGACGCAGTTGAGATAAGTTTCTAAATGCTGTTTCCTTAGAAACCTTTCTGCCAACGCATGTGGTAGACTACGGTCCTATTCGCACTTACCTGGAAGGGGGTCCCACCGAATTCTTTGGGGCTGACTTCTGAATAGAAATGGCTCTGTACTGTTTGTCTCACGAGCAAAAGATATACATACATTAGCCATAGCTATGTAAACTATATTTGGAATAACATTCCAGCTCTCAATAGATTGCTTTAGAATATCTCTCTATGCGAATATGTTTAGGGCTGCAGTTTTAGCTTATGGGACTGAAGAGAGCCACAATTGAGTCAGAACGGCTGAGTCAGTTCAAAAGCTGAATTGCAGCCTCTGCTGTGCCTCGGTAGCCTTTGACGAGGGACCGTTTCAAAGAGTGAATTGCATGGATTATGAAATAGTGCGGAATTAGGGAGAATGTCACCCCCTGTTTGGTTCTGTTTACTGGATAACAGGAACATAGTTTTGAAAAGCAAACCTTTTAATTCAGCTTACTTTGTAAAGCTTGCCTGAAAGAATCATATGCATTTGATACTGCTTTTGGGGGGGGGGGGGGGGAAGGGAAGGTTGAATGAGAGTATTGCTAGCTGAATTTTCTACTTTGAATTGTAATGATTTTGTGTATTTATTGCCTTTTAAAAATATGCATTTTATGTTGTTTGAAGATGCTGTACAAACATTAAGCAAACCATAGGCTTGTAACATAATAGGTATGACTCAGAGGAAAAGAGAGAAGACAGAAAAACAAGTAAATATGGGCACATAACCTTCATGGTTACATAAATGCTTAATAATTGAGAATTCTAGGGTTTTGTTTTTTGTTTTTTGTTTTTGTTTTTTTTGCATTGCAGAATGATAGAAGTTGAATACCGCTGCACACTTCGGATCCCAGCATTTGTAGTTTTGTGAGAGATTTAGAATTTAGAACAAAACTGCAAATCCTAGGATTCTTTACGATGCATCCTTGGAAGTTAAAAGAGTAGCAGAGTATTTCAGCAGAGTGCTGTAAAAGGGACTTGAGCAGAATGGCTACTAAAGAGGAAAATCAAATGGTGGTTGATCCATCAGAGTCCATGAAGTGAGGCGTGTCATCTCACCTCTCCTTCTGTGGATATAGTTACCATGCTGCAAAATGTCGTAGCATGGAGCCATGGCAATCAAGGTGGTATCAAACTGCATTAATTCCACAGTGTAGGTGTACTCTCAGTCATCAGGAAGTTTTAATTTTAGTCAGCACGAATGGGAGCAGTTTCCCAGGGCTTTAACATGGATTGTGCCTTTAGATCAGTGGTTCCTAACCTGTGGTTCCCCAGATGTTTTGGCCTACAACTCCCAGAAATCCCAGTTTACCAGGGAATGGTTTCTGGGAATTGAAGGCCAAAACATCTGGGGACCCACAGGTTGAGAACCACTGCTTTAGAAGATAGTAAAATGTCAACAGATGAAAAAACACCCTTTTCTTCCTCCAATTTTAGATAGGGATTGAATTGTGCACATGGGGTTAACTTTACATTTAACTCTTTCCTCCAATGTGGTCTTCTTTTCCACTGCCGTCTTCTGTGTTTTCTGTAGGAAAGGTACTAAAGAAGGAATGCCATTGTGCTATTTACCCTCTTCTAGCTATCCAAACAATATAGAATCATAAAGTTAGAAGAGGCCACATGGGCCATCCAGTCCAATCCAATTCTGCCATGCAGGAAAAGCACCATCAAAGCAACCCCAACACAGGAGGTTTTCCTTTGAAAACCTCCAAGGAAGGAGTTTGGCAGAATCAAATTGCATTTTTTTCTCCCAGGATCAAAGCTTAGAAAAATAGTCAATTCTGGACAACCTAGACCAAAACCTGTTAACCTTTTGCTAGTGTTTTAGTTTAGGCATTAGTGCTGCATTAGTGGCCTGATAAGGAGCCACGGTGGCACAATGGGTTAGACCCTTGTGCTGGTTGAACTGCTGAGCTGAAGGTTGACAGTTCAAATCCGAGAGATGGGGTGGGCTCCCATCTGTCAGCTCCAGCTTTCCATTCAGGGTCATGAGAGAAGCCACCCACAGGATGTAACACATCCGGGCACCCCCTGGGCAATGTCTCTTCAAACGACCAATTCTCTCACACCAGAAGCGACTTGCAATTTCTCAAGTTGCTTCTGACATGATAAAAAAGTGACCTGATGCTGATAGGAGCAGTTTATCTAGATCATGAGTCCTCATACTTTTCAAACAGAGGGCCAAGTCACAGACCCTCAAACTGTTGGAGGGCCAGATTATAATTTGAAAAAAGTATGAATGAATTCCTATGCACACTGCACATATCTTATTTGTAGTGCAAAAAATACTTAAAAACAATAAAATAATTAAAATGAAGAACAATGTTAACAAATATAACAAATTATTAATATTTCAATGGTAAATGTGATCCTGCTTTTGGCTGATGAGATAGGATTGTTGTTGTTGTTGTTGTGTGCTTTCAAGTCAGACTTAGGTTGACCCTGAGCAAGGGCCGGGTAAATGACCTTGGAGGGCTGTATTTGGCCCTTGGGCCTTAGTTTGAGGACCTCTGATCTAAATCATGGGTTTTAAAATGCCTTTCTTTTAGCTGTAGATTACCTCTGCCTAGTGAATAGAACAAATGAATGAAGTTTGATGATGTAATTTTAACCTATGGAGAAGAACAACTCCCCAGATCCCATAGCATTTAGCCATAGCAATTAAAGTGGTGTCAAACTGCATTCATTCTACAATGTAGATGCACAGCAAGAAAAGGGCTTTTTAACTATTGTTAAAGCTGGCCCACTGCTTTCAGTGTAAACAGAACTGTGCAGAGAGGACCAAACTGAATTGTGAATTGCCAAATAATGAGTGTGAAGATGGCTGTCTTTGCAGTTTTGCTATGCTATGAGCAGTTAAGATTAAATGCACTCATGTTTTCAAGAGATGATAAGCTGGCTATTGAATATCTGTGGCTAAAGTTGCAGTAGTAATATATGCTAGCTCTTGATATTGTGTGGGATTGTCTACATTACTGCTCCATGCAGACATTTCTGGTGTGATGCTAAATCCAACTGGACCCCCTTCCACACAGCTGAATAAAATCCCACATTATCTGCTTTGAACTGGAATATATGGCAGTGTGGACTGAGATAACCCAGTTCAGAGCAGATATTGCGGGATTTTCTGCCTTGATATTCTGGCTTATATGGCTTGCGTGGAAGGGCCCTGGTCCAACTTTGGGGAAAAGGTGCATATAAATACAAATAAATAATATAAACTGTATGGAAGTAGTTCTACTGCATATTACACAACTTAATAGCAGCAGCTACCTGTAGATATTGCCCTTAGACAATACCCTACCTGGTTTTTTTAAAAAAAAAATGTTTAAAAGCTTGCATGTGGTAAAGCCATGTGCTGGCTTTCAGTGCCATATTTAGTTCCAAGAATATATTGGAGCATTCTTTTTTTAAGGTAGACAATCATAAGCCATTATTTTCAAGGATGGTACACCAAAATAATAATAATAATAATGTGTGGCAATCATTTCACATCTGTCTTATATTCAGGCTCTTACAAGTTACTTTTGTTCCTGCTGCACTAGTTTGCCTTTGAGAGCCAGCATGGTGTCATTGTTTGAGTGTAAGATGAAAGTACCCACAATGCTGTCTCAAACTTGCAAATGTGCCCATCGTTCTGAAAAGGATGTGGACTTTCAGTAGCACATAAATTGGACCTGTGTAACATGGCAAGTTCTTGTTGGAGTGTTCCTGTAGTGAAAGATATGTAGGACGCATCTCCACTATAGAATTAATGCAGCTTGACAGCAACTGCTATGGCTCAATACTATGGGTTTTCAGTTTTACAAGGTCTTTAGCCTTCTCTTCCAAATTGCCGATGCCAAACTACAGCTCCCATGATTTCATAGCATTCAGCCATGGCAGTTCAAGTGCTGTCAAACTGCATTAATTTTGCAGTGTAGATGCACCCACAGACACTAAATTACAAGACTCCTGCATATTGTGATTCCATGTAAAATATTCTGATTTGTGAGAAATAGACATTGTTTATGCAGAGAAAAGCACAGTGAAATATGTATGGCATCAAGAGCATGTGTATTTTATGTGCATGCCCATAAGCATGTCATCCATACTCATGTCATCTTTTGTTGTCATTCTATGTTGTCCTGTATACAGAAACAGTTACATTGCTTAATTACTATCAAGAACAATAATTTCTGCTGATTTTGAAAATAAT